ACAAGGAGGGCAAGAACAAGTGGTTCTTCCAAAAGCTGCGTTTCTAAACCAACAACATTTGGATTACTTGATACGTAGTTAATTAAGCCCCTTTAATTTTTATACATTTAAAAACATAATTTTCTATGTTTTAATTGTGTGGAAGAAGTGTTAGAAGTGATACAGTTGGTGGTAAGATTGTTGGAATCCAAACAACAGCAGTCTTTAAATAAAGTGATTCTAAAAATCAAATACAATGTGTCTTGCTTCAGTTTACGGAAGTGGAGAAATTTTTGAATTCAGGGCAATGTTTTGGTTTTGAAACCGTCTACATAGTTATACTAGTAAACAAGTAATTTCTAAGCAAAATATTCAACCGATTTCAATGCTCGCATACAAATTTAGAAGTACCTACCATTAATGTCTTCACGAGCCAATGATCGGTACTAAACCAAATTAGTATAGTACCAGCCCTGAGGCGTCACCCTTCCGATAAAATAGAATTATCAAAAGGGTCTATAGTTATCTGGTGAAATAATATAGATGCTCCGTTAGAAAAAGTGAATATGCAGATGTAAATAATTTGTTTACAAAAGATTGTTTATGACGCTTGTTTGATATTGGAACCTAACCTCACGCTCTTATGCTGAAAAATGCAAATGAAATTTATGCATTGCATACTTTCAGGCTTGAGAATGGTCAGAGGAAAATCAAGTTTCTGCAAATCTTTAGTTAAAAAATCAAAACAAGAATTAACGTTTTTTTTTTTGTTAAAATTTTTTTTTAGGACTATATTGGGGAGGCTTCTGAAAATAAATGAATTTTAACCGCGTTTTCAACTAAAATTTCAGAAACATCGTTTATTCGGGGTTATTGTTGAATCCATCGTGACTCGATTTATCTGAAAATAATCTCTGAATCCGATTCGATACAGGGTATAGTTCTAAATATATCATCGTAATTAGTAAGTACCCGTCTATGGTACACGTAAACATTTCGGCATCTCAAATATATAAAGCTTTAGTTTTGGTTCTTTTTTTTTTGTTTACAGTTATTTTATTGATGCGAACAAGGTTGCCTTTTGCTCACTGTATGAGATTTTAACATGATTGTGGTTGACAGAACTGTAGGGCGATACAATTATTCAAGAAATAATGTACTGTTCGAATACAAATCATTTTTTCTTAATTTAACTGTTTCTGCTCAAACAAAATCAAAAAAGCAAAAACACATTGATTTATAAAAATATGTATGTACGTGGGTCTTTTACACAACTTTCCAATCGGCTGAATAAAAACGAAAGTTAAGTAGTTAAGAACTTGTAGTACAATTTTAAACTATAAGGAGATGGCAACAAACGATTCTACAACAAGCTTACATATTTATTAGGGTTTGTCTAAGTATACTCTTCTAAAGGTTAGAAAAAAGGGAAACGCGCAAAAGCCAAACGCCACGCAAAGGTTAGGCCGAATTCCTTTCTTCAACGCCATACTATTCAAGCATCATTTTTGAATCTGTAAAAAAGAATATTTTTAATTGGTTTGTAAATTATGAAATCTATCGTATAAGTATCGTGTAATTTTGAATTTACCTTCTATTTATCATCCTAATACGCTGACAGGCAACACAGGGAGTTTTACAAAGGCATTGATGCAACGCTTTCTCATTAGTAGCGCACGATCGGTTTGAGGTTTGAACATCGAAGCGGGTAGACATAACAATAAAACACATTGCAGCTGGGCACATGGGCATATGACTTGGATTTTTAAGCTGGATTTAGGACTATTTGGCTTTGGACATCAAATCATATGTACATATGTATATTTATAAATTGTATACCAATTAGCTTAGTTGCTGAGGAATAATACGTTTTAATATTCGCGTTTATAGTTGTTAAGACATATATAAATATTAATAATACGTATGATCAGCAGTCAAATATCGTTAATAATAATCCAGGTTCCGTAAATGTTTAAAAATTTTCCTAATGTACACTATTTTTTTAATCGCGGTATTGTCCTTGTCGCCTTTTTTTGTGTAACGGTGCATGGTGTGGGATCCCACATAACCAGTTTTTGTTATAGGTGGACAGTTAAACGGTTATTGGAATCGGGACAGGCAGCGTGAAAGAAATTTTTGGTTTGTGATAGAAATGGACAAAATTTAGTTTAATATACAACAAAATATATAATTTTGAAATAAATACCAAATCAAATTTACAAAGAAAGCAGGCCTCGTAAAAACGACGCAGAAAATAAAGTAGATATAGACTAGAACAAAAGACTACGAAGTGAAAGCTGAAGTGGCCACAAGGGCTGCCGAAACCAAATATAGTGTGGAGATATAAAGCCACAACATACATATTACATATTTAATGTGACTCTGTGTTCAAATGTGCGGGTGCAAAGTTGGTAAGTGGTGGTGTATGTATTTGACATCAGGAAATGCACTGTTGTTATTTGCAGATATATGTATATGTCCGGGAAGTGTGTGTGGTTTTTTTTTTAAATAATAGCTATAAAATGCTAACAATCGAAAAATAAGTTTTACTAAAAATCTGCCTAAAATTTGTATCAATAAGCAAAGCAAAAGATATAGCATAGCATTTTATACAGATATAAATTATTATTAGAGGAGGAAAGTTAGTAGCATAAGGATGTTAGAGTTGGGCAAATCAATATTGTTTTGTTATAATTTGTATAAATAAAAATAAATAGCCATAAGCGAAGCGTAACAAGATAACAAATTCCTAATAAAATACAGGCCTAGTGTTGTAAACGTGTACATACAATAACATATATGTAATTACAAATTCGATAGACATACTGGATATATCGCAAAAATTTTAAACATTCAATGCGTACATGTAATTAAAATTTTTTAGTTTAATTGATTGCACTGTTCAAATTCAATTTTCAAAAAAAAAAAACAAATGATCAAGCAAATGTGCTATAATAGTATAGGCATGCATTGAAGGATTAAATTTGGTGTATTATCTAAGTACATCATATAGGCAATAAGTAAAAAACTTATTGTCATTAGGAAAATTGTCACAGGTGGACTAGGCACTTGAGAGAGTCTATGTATGAGTGTATATGATTGCTTTTACCAGTTCACTCGCTTTTTGGCCAAAATCTTGAGAATATTATCAACTACATCAGTACTAGAAGCGGTACCACCCAAATCTAAAAGAAAAGTAAACACTTGTAGTAAAATGTGGCTTAAAATGTTATGTAATTTTTCTAACCTGGCGTGCGGATACCATCTTTAACCACAGTTTCATAGGTTGCTTCGTAGATTACACGTGCATGTTCTCTGCATCCTAGATGGTTTAACATATCTGCGCTGGCGTTGATCATTGCCACGGGATTAGCAATATTCTTACCAGCAATGGCTGTACCCGTGTTACGAGTGCCAGGTTCGAAAACGGCAAACTAAAAAAAAATTATAAAATGAAAATCTAGTTCCTGAATTACGCAATTACATAATAATTAAAATATACATGATCGCCATAGTTGGCGCCAGAGAGTAGACCAGCGCCGCCAATTAAACCGCAAATAACGTTGGAAACGATGGTGCCATACAAGTTGGTCATGTTCATGACATCGAACTGCATGAAAAATTAGTTGAACATTGAATCGTATTTAGTGTGTATAATTTAAGTTTACCTGATGTGGGTTGGACACTAATTGCATGCATGTGTTATCAATAATCATGTTGTTATGTTCAATTTCAGGATATTCCTTGTGTACAGCTTTTGCCACGTCAAGGAAAAGGCCATCAGATAGCTTCATAATGTTGGCCTTATGGATGGTTGTCACCTTCTTGCGGTTATTCTGTCGCGCATACTCGAAAGCATAACGCGCCACGCGCTCGGCATTTTCAACGGTAACCACTTTCATGCTTTCTACTACACCGCGTACGGATTCATGTTCCAACATTGCATACTCACCATCGGTATTTTGACGAATGAGTACAATATCAATGTTCTTATGGCGTGATGGTATACCGGGATATGAGCGACAATGCACAACATTTACGTACAAGTCGAGTTCGTTACGGATCGCTACGTTACGAGAAATCTCATCTAAGCCATGCGATTTCGTTTCAATATTACCCTTAATGGCAACACCATTACGCTTAATCGAAGTGATGGCGTATTCCAAGTCTTCATTGCCCTCAGTGGAAGGATCGATTTCTATGGTTTCGAAATCAACAGGTGCACCAACGAAACGGAAGATCCCGCGAATGTAATGCATAAGTTCTGGACCTATGCCACCACCGGGCAGCATTGTGACAGCGTGACGACCCCCATATTGTGCAGATGGTATATCAATACCCTAGGTAATATATATAATGATTAACCTCACTTTTGATAACATTACGTTTATAATGCTGCAGTCAGGAATGGAAGCAATAAAAACCTACCGTCCATTTCTTTTGAAGAGACGATTTAGTATGCGCCACATCTTCGGACTTTTCCTTGGTCACCAGCAGCGGATAACCCTGCATAAAACATATAATATTAGGTAAATAAATTACAGTATTTTTGTTAACAGTTTCTTATGTAATTTTGCTTGTCCGAATACACGGTTTAGAGCTTTCTACTTCGAATTTTCAATACGTACACGTGTCAGAAAGGGCACTTGATTTTGCATTAAACGTTGGGTAAAACGCAAAGCCATTTTAATGTTTTTTAACAACTTTTGCTTATTTTAATTGGTAAATAATTTTGCAAAATTAACTTTGCCAAATCTGATTCGGTCACCGCACTGCTGCTTCAGTTTCAAAGTGCAGTTTACGATAACTCCGACTGNCGTTTAGAGCTTTCTACTTCGAATTTCCAATACATACACGTGTCAGAAAGGGCACTTGATTTTGCATTAAACGTTGGGTAAATCGCAAAGCCATTTTAATGTTTTTTAACAACTTTTGCTTATTTTAATTGGTAAATAATTTTGCAAAATTAACTTTGCTAAATCTGATTCGGTCACCGCACCAGACCGCACTGCTGCTTCAGTTTCAAAGTGCAGTTTACGATAACTCCGACTGTGAATAGGTGGAAAAGTGATGCCGGATATTTGGAATTCATTAAACTGATACCAGATACCAAAGAACGTAAATGTATAAGAAGCGTTGTACTGGTAAAAGTGTTCCCATGGCGTTCATTGTGCCATATTTTCTATGTTTCCTATGTTTTCTTTAATACCTCAATTTTCTTTGTTTTCTGCAANCAGAGAACTACGTTCTCTGGTTGTACGTTCTTTGGAATGTTCAAGTTCTATTTTATTTCGTTACACATCAAGTCATCATACACATACAAAAAACTAAAAACATTACTAATAATTTTAAAACTTGGTTTTCAAATTTAAAAGCAATTTTCCCGACTAATAAAACAGTGTAAAAGTGTTCCCATGGCGTTCATTGTGCCATATTTTCTATGTTTCCTATGTTTTCTTTAATACCTCAATTTTCTTTGTTTTCTGCAAGCTGCTTGGCATCTCTTCTTGTTGTCGCAACTATCTGGCAGCCCTTCCGCCCAGCTGTTTTTTTGGTTTGTTTATTTCTTTCAGTGGTTTGCAAAATCAGGTGCTAGTTAGAGGTGGTTTTTCTTTTCGTGTTTGTTCGCAATTAAAAGTGAAATTACGATTCTGCCACGTTTGGCCGTGGCGGTTGTAATTGGAGTACTTCGCTCTTCCAGCATTCGGCCAAAGTTTGTAAATTCAAAGTTCATAATTGTGCAATCGGTGGTGTGTGTGTATCTTGTTTAACGATGCCTACAAGCATATGAGAAAAAAGTGTTTGCTGTAAATTTGCAAAAATGCGTGCGTTTCAAAATGTTTATTAGCTAGTGATCTTGCCAAATTATTTGTCTCAAAATTCTAATTATAGAAACCGACGAGGAGGATGCTTTTGGCAGTAGTTCAGATACACCCGTCAAACAAATGCGGCCACTGCAAACGGACGAATCGTATGAGTTATATGCTACCAAGACAACAGCATCGCTGGAAAGTCCACCAGCAACACCACCGGTCGGAAACGACAACGACACAATCAGTATAAAGGCCAAAAAGCACCATGACGAAGACCAGCACCAGCACCACAGCAATAGCGACAATGACGATCACACTACAGCATACTCACAATCCGATGCCGATGAAGATTCAAGTTTAGTTTTCTTTAGTGAAGGCGACTTGCCGGCAGTCGAGTTTGAGCCTCCATACACAGCGCCTCTTGCGCCATTGCTCACGCCAAAAGATTGGAAAAGAAAACAGCGTAACAGTGGCGAGCAAAAGCGTTCACGTCGGTCGAAAGCAAGTGTAAAAAGTAAGCGTCGATCGCCGAGCGTAGCTCTAAAAGAGAGATTTAAAAGCTACGACAGTCTATGTGAGATGTTTATACAGCAGGAGAGATATGCCAGTGCTAACGGCGATGCAGGCAACCAATTGGGAATCAACGCTCATGATGATGACAAAGCGTACGAATGTCATAAACTTGACTACTACAATGGTAACAGCGACGATTGTGGGGCCGGCGAATACGTCGAATTTGATGACAAACTGCTGCGCGGGAACTCAAGGAGATTATGCAGGCCAGCTGATAAAAGGTAGGAGCAATAAATTCGCAAAATGATTATAATATACGAGTGTATATGCGCAAGCGTTTTTAATTTGATTTTGCAGACGTGT